GGCAAAATCTGCAACATCCAAACCTTCCCTGTGGGCTGAGCCCCCTCTCAGCCTCTGACTCAGGGCAGCTCAGCAGGCTCTGGGCGTTCTCCCTTCACCCTCACACTACACTCACTGCCAGTGCTGGTGCCAGAGGGGCAGGGATGGCACTCACATCATGGAACAGCAGCAGAACTCGTGTGGGGAGGGACCCAGGAGGGCTCCAGTCCCAGCTCTGCTCAAACCAGGATTTGCTGTGAGGACAGATCGAGGGGCTCAAGGCTTTGTCCATCACATCTTGAAAAGCTCCAAGAACAGAAGCTGCACAACCTCTCTGGGCAACCTGTCCCAGTGTTTGACTGGTCTACTTGTGAAAAAATTGTTCTTATATTCAGTTGGATTTCCCCTACATCCAGGAGCACTGCAAAGATGGGTTTGAGAAAGTTTGTATTTAGGAATAAAGGTGATTTATACCTTTTGCACTGCAAAGGGATCCCTCTGTTCATTGTCCAGGTATTTCTCTAAATTGAAGAAGGTGTTGAAGAACACATGAGCCATTCTGCACCTCTTCAGGTCTCGCAGGGTTACTCTTCCTACAGAAAAAGAACTCACATGATTGTGCTTCTGAGTTCTTACTTAGTGGGAGACTGGACCTTGTCAGTCTCAGTTTTAACTTTAACATCAGCAGGCTTCAGTATTACAAAATTTCTTCCCAACTCAGTCAAGGATTTTAACATTATTCAACAAATGGGTGTGTTTATTAGGCTTAAATCTCACATACATATGGAGGTCTCTGACATCCATGTGAGATGGGAAAGAATGTGAAAGAAAGTCCAGTTTCATAATTTAGACTGTCAGCACATCCCACAGCTGGAACACAAAAGACATGTTGCTCCAGTTCCAGCAAGTTAATTCACAGTGTCTCTTGTTTTAGTCTTTCAAGCCTCCTGATGGCACAGCCAGCCCTGTGCAGTGACTGTGCAGTGGCTGCACCTCTGGCACTCCAACACAGGGCTGTACCTACAGACGGGTCACACAGGGACATCTCCTTCCCAATTCACCACTGATCAGAGAGGAGGAGAACTCTGATCAAACAGGACTTACCTTCCCTCTCTGGCTTAACAAGGTCCAGCATCTGGCACAGCAGGTCCTGGAAGGGCAGGGGCTCTATGCCCATCACCTCCATGCGCTCACACTGCTCCTCGTAGAAATACTCCAGCTCATACATGGACAGCACTCCATCCCCATCCAGGTCCATGCACCTGAACCAGTACTCAATGCTGGCAAAGGAACAAGGACAGGGAGAGCTCAGCACTGCACTACAAATCCATCCAGATTGCAGCAGTGCACATTCCCCTTCTCCCATCCCCTAAGGCTCCTCTGCCCAAAAGCTGGCACAAACCCAGGGATGAAAATATCCTTTGGGAAGGGCCAGGGCACAGGCCAACACCCAAAGCACGTCCTGGTGGTCTCCCAGGTGGTTTGTGAGCACAGCTCTGCTCACGACCTGTTTCACCTGGCAGCTGTAACAGTGCCCACTGTGCTGAGCCCGAGGGGCACACGCAGGTCAGGGTGTCCCTGCCCAGCCCAGCATTAAGAATTGGCCAAATCCAGCCAAGTCTGAACCCAGGGCACTGGGGGACCCTGGTGAGGGACAAGGCAGGCACGGTGTGCTCTGCTTTGCTCTGCTCCTTTAGACAGAGGGCAGTGCTCCCAGGCAGCCCACCCTGCATGCCCCCACCTCGGGGTGCTCCAACCCTACATTATGAATTCTTCTCATTCTTATGCAGAAGATTCCTTGTCCCAGTAATCACACACAGACCTGGATGAGCTCTGGACAGCAGTCTCCCCCTGGCTCTACAAACCAGGCCATGGGCAGGTTTTACAAAGGGACACAGTGAAGGTTCCCCACAAACCCTTCCTGCACACTTGGTACACGTGTGAAGGGAACGTGCCTCACCTCTGCCAGCTCCTCAGGGGTTCCACCCCAGAGCTAGTCCTTCATGGCACAGGGGAACCAAAGGCACTGATGACTACCAAGACATTTAACATTACAAGAAAACTCTGCTTCTACACAATTTCTCTTCAAGAAAGGCAAATGATCTGATCAAGAGTTGACCATAAGTTGCTTTCCTCCTAATGGAACCCAAGCTGCCGTCTCTTGGAGAGAGTGGTAGGTCACAGAAGCTTCTGTATCTTCTGTGCTCATCTCAGTACTTTCACCAGACACAGAAATCAGTCAGACCTTGTAGCACTCCTTTTGTCCTCCTCCGAAATCAGAAGCCACACAAAATCCGCATAACTCATCCTGCCTTCCTTCTGAACCTCAGTGCCTCTGGAACACACAGCAGGAAAACAGTGTTAAAACCCACCAGGCTCCTAAATACTCACAGTGTCAGCAAACATATTTTTCAAAAGTCCCAAATCATCAGTGAGAGAAAATGGGGCATCACCACCCATTCAGCCTGTACCCCCTGCACCTCCAGCACCAGGCACAGCGTTTGCTGTCACTGCAGAGCTGAGGCTCATCTACCACATCCCCTCCCACTGCAAGGGCTGGGCTCTTTCACCTTCCAGAGACTTTCCAGCATTGCTCTCCAGCTATCCCTGTGCCATATAGCCCAGCTGTGTCCACCCATCCCATCCTACGGGATTTTGTAATTTATTTTCTTAAGATACCCAGAAGTCTCTCTCCATTTTCAGGCAGCTCCAGCTGGAGCACCCTGTTGAAACCATTCTGATCAGTAGGGGTTTCTGAGAGTAACTTGCATGTCTAAGCAGCCTCACAGGAATTCCCTTCCCCAAGCAGGAATTCCCTTCCCATCCCAGTCCCCCTCACCTCACCACAGCGCCACTGAATATTCGCTCAATTATCCTGTTGGATAAAGCTGGGAACAGAGAAAACACGGAGAAAATGAAGCCACAGGTCAGAGGAATAACTGCCATCAGTTGTTTATCCTGAATCTACACAAAGCCATTTCCCATTGCCAACAGAATGCACTGCCTGTACTGCCTGTCTGACCTCTCTCTGTTCAGCAGCATTTTATAAAAACCAAGGATGATTCTCCCAGTGGGTTTGCCTCTGTATCCTCCCAAACACCACACTGTCCCACGACAATGGCAACTTTTATCTGGATCCCTGGACATGGGCAGTTACTTCTGCTCTGCTGAAGGAGGATTTGTCACATAAGCAACCCTGCCGGTAGCAGGAGACTATTTCAGTGTGTACTGCAGTAGAAGTTCAGTTACCAAGACAAAATAACACACCAAATGCCACAAAACACTTCTCAGCAGAGCACAGGCTGTGGTAACCCCCAAACCTCCTGTGCAACAAACCCTCCCCCCACACTCCAGCCTCCCAGCAGGGACCAAGTGTCCCCTGTCACCTCTCCATCCTCACCCTGCCCAGCCCTACGATCACCACTCCTGACCCTGGGACTGCCACACTCACCCAGAGCCCCCATGGCCTTCCACAAACACCTGCACTTGGAACACAGGGGCTTCTTAGCCCTTTGTGCATTTGTATTCCATTAATTTATCCATGGTCCTTGAACCCTTGAAAACTCACAGCACCTGCTCAGCTTGTGGAAAGGAGGTTCCACACTGAACTCAGGAGATGTTCTCCTGAAATTCCCCAAGCTTCACTGGACTCTGGAATTTCTCTCATTGCACTTCAGCAATCTTGGAAGTCCACATGGGTTTGTCCTTTTTGTCCCTACTTCCAAGTTCCTGCAAAACCCTCAGCAAATAATAATGTTTCAGGGCATTATTGTAGCTTGTCCTTCTGGCAGCGGCCCACATGTGAACAGAAGCTCCATCTGAAGCTACTCATGCACAAAATAGTGTGTACTGCAGTTCTCTGTGTCTGAGCCCCTGCAGCTCACTCCCTAAATCAGCATTTACTTAAGAGATGGGTGGCTCCATTTAAACTTTTTTTGAGGCATCGAACTGACCAAATCAAAGGCAGGCTCTACTCTTGAGTGAGAACATTGTACTTCCAGCAGTGCCCCTGGTCCCAGCACAGCCTGCAGGCACCGTACCTTGGTCACTGTACCGAGCCAGGTCCTTCTGGCTGATGTAAAGGTCATGGTCAGTGTCCAGCTCCCAGAATTTACAGTAAATCACATAGAAGTGCTCATAGGAGAAATAGTCTGTGATCTGATTTATGTCATCCTCTTCTTCCAAGAGAGCAAGGGTCTGAAAGAGCACAAACGAAGTGGGAAGTTAAGCCCAGAGAAGAGGCAGCTCTGCAGCTGAAGTGCTGCAGGCTGGAGGAAGCTGGGTGAACACAGTTCTGAGAGCCAACCTCCACACAGCCTTTCTGCCCAAGAGATTCTCACTGTTTTAGCCAAGTCCTTCACCCTCCAGCCTGGAGACTTTCTGGCTCTTTAGGCTGGGCTGGACACGAGCAGCCTTAGACAGTTTTAAGCTGGTCCTCTTTCGGATTAAACATGCAGAGGACAGAGATCCAAATGCTGCCATAAGGGCACAGCAGGGACAAGACCTCAGCTCCATTTGTTCTCCTGGGGGATCAGCTCCTGGGGTGAGGACCAGCTGTCAGAGGGCTGGGAGGCAGGAGATGGGCTGTCCTGCCCCTGGCACTGCATCAGCTCCTCCTGGCTGCCTGGGAGCCACTGCACAGGGTGCCCTGCTGTGCCCTGCTGCCCTTCCTGCCTGGCCAGACCACAGAGGCTGCTCATGCAGCTCCAGACCTGGTGCTGGTCCCCCCTGACCTTCTCCCAGTGCCCCCTTGGCCACTGCAGCCCCTGCTGCCCTCAGTTCAGCTCTGACCCAGCTGCTCCACCAGCCCCAGTGCTCTCCCAGCATGGAGCACTCGGCCTGTCCTGCTCCAGGCCCAGCTCCCTCCCCACAGCCACGGGAATGTGGACAGTGCATCCTGGATCTCCTTCACACAGAAACCAACGTACTTGCAAGAAGTTGCTTTTCCTCAGCTCTGTCAGAGTGATCTTCCCAGACCAGGAGCGGTTCACGGTGTAGAATATTCTCTGTATAACCTGCAACACATGAGCAGTGCTCTTGAAATCAGCTCCTGAAACACCCCACTCTGGGAATTTAAACACAACTTTGTTTATTCACTCAGCCTAAGGACACCTCTTTTTGCAAACTGCTTGGTGATCTTGTTTGTCTTAATTCACTACACGGCCTAAAAGTAACATTTGCTTTCGAAACAGTATTGCCCGTTTCCACTCTGCCAACACTTTCACTGCTCTTAATTCACCTCTTTGGGCATGCAGATGAATTATTTACGGCAGGAACATGTTCAGAGTGCTGATGGATCACTTTCAAACCGAGCTCAGCAGGTTTTAGGGGCTGCAGTTTGCATGGATCTCAAATGAAACAGGGTTCTAGGTTCAGGTACTAGGAAAAGAAAAAGCCAGGACTTCTGATTCCTGCAGAGGAAGCAGGAGTGTAAATGAAAGGCACAGCTGATGTCTGAGCTATTGTGCCTGTAACAATGTTCCAGGGGCTCCCTGAAAGTGAGCAACAGGGATTATCTGTCTGCATTTATCCAGGGGAGCTGTGAACCTCATTTGTCTCCTTTCCTGATCTCCCTCTGGTGAAAGGGAGTGAAAACCACGGGGGATGCACAGAGCCCTGAGGGAACAAAGGAAACAGCTCAGGGTATGAGACTGAGCACACTCCCAAGCACCTCAAAAAGCTGAGCCCTTCCTATCTGCTCCTTGTCACCTTGTCAAGGATCATCACAAAGTAGGGAAGCACAGGCAAGAATAAACCTACAGGGCAAACAACAACAAATAAACATCCCCGCATGAGAAATAGAACTAACATGGCTCAGCACTGAAATATAGGGAAGATAATTCTTGTTGACCAAACCCAATACAAACCTTTGATGTCTGTGAAATATTGACACATTATCCTAAAATTTTGGTAAACTTCAGTGCATCCTATTCCAACACAAAAATTAACTTTACACAACAATATGGACATTACAGGGATTAATCCAGCTAACAAATGAAAGGAGGTGGCTTTGTCTCTTAGTTAGAACTAGTTTCAAGTGGGCAGCCACCACTGAAGGGCCGTGCTTGGGCTCAGTCACACAAGTGCTGCTTCTTAGTCCAGAACAGATCTGGAACCAAGTATGACATTGCTCTGCACAGCCTGCTTTGGGATACACAGATCAGTGAGACAGTAAATGCTGATGGCACACAATTTTGAGAGCAACAAGAACGATTCGAGGACTGAAAACGTATCCTGAAGAGAGAGAATTAACAGACTCAGCTGAACATGACACCTACTGGTAACACTGCAGGCTCTTCATCACTCCAGGCCTTGAAGGTGGATGTCTTTCTAAAGTTGGGTGTCAGATCAATTAAAACCAAACACAGAACAGATCTATCCCAACTGCAGCAATCACTGAGCACTGTTCTCTGGCCTGTGTCTGAGGTCACACTAGGTAATCACAATGATCCTTTCTGGTCTTAAGCGCAATGAAAAAGCTCTGTGTTTGTTCCTTTAATGCCTCTGGCAGCCACTGCCATTCTGGAGTCTATTTTTGGACTTTGTTTGGCTTTTGCTTCCCAGTTGCACAAGAGCTCAGAGACTGGAGTGGGTCTCACCTCGTCCATAACCCGTTATCGCACCTGACAACTCTGTACTGGCTCTTAAAGATACAGGGTGTTCACACCATTCCAGGGACTCACAACCAGCAATCCCACCCCACACCAGGGATTCTTCTCCTCTGCCTGCAGGGTAATAAAGGACAACAAACTATTCCCATCTGAGACACATAAGAAACTGCTCATGTATCAGACCACATCGACAAAGATGTTCCATCTGCTCCCTCCTCACTGAGCTGTAAAAATAAGGCACTCACAGGTAAAATGGGATCCATTTTCATCTCTTTTACCATGTCCAGTCACTCAGTGCAGGCTTTATTATTCAAATAACGGTCCAGTTGCAATGGATAGTAGTACACAGTATATATATCAGAATAAAAATCTCAATAGTTCTGTATTTTTTTTCCAGGTTGTGAAAACCAAGCTGCCAAAAAAAAAAAAAAGCATTTGGGAAACACCCCAGACCATAATCACCCAGCCTGACATGATTTGCAGTATTTAAGACACGTTTGTCACTTTTGTCTTACTGAAAGCCATAACTGGCTTTGCTTTTCCCAACATGGAAGATTGTTTATTTTGAATTCAGTACATAATCATAGACTTCTGGAATATCTTGAGTGGGAAGGGACCACCAGGATCATCAAGTCCAACTCCTGATAAGCCTTTGCAAGGAGGAGCCCCTTTCTATTTGCCCATTATCCTCATGTAATCGACCTCCAGGACCCAAACCACTGACAGATGAGTTCCAGTCCTTTCCCCACTCTTCCCATAGAAGAACACAAGCAACACCACTTCTGGAAAACTCCACAAAGCTTTATTACCCCCTCCATCCTCCCCTTACACATTCCCATGGTCCCACTGCACAAGCTGAAGCACTTTTCCACAAGCATTGTGTTTTAGGCTGCTTTAAGCTGACAGCTGTCCAACATGCAGTGCTAGCTCTGAGCCTGGGCTGAATGTTCTGGTAGAAGTCACACTTTAAAGCTTTACAACAAATGCCACATGTTATTCTGCACCATCTTCACCAGCCTCAGGAGTTGGTCTCTGTGGAAACAAACACAACTAATTTAGTAACACAATAGCTCAGATATGATACAAATTCCAGCCTGGGGCAGTCCAAAAGGCACCTTTACAAGGTGCTGAGGTGGCAGTGAGAATTGAAAGGTGCATACACATCTTACCCATTCTGACTGTGAGCTCACTCTCCAGGTGATTTCAACAAGTGATGTTGTATTCATGAACACAAAGCCATGTCTCCTTACAGACCTCACCTGTAACAAAAATAAACTGTAATTCTTGCACTGGCAGCAAACACAGCATTCTGTCACTGTAGGTAAGTATAAGGCACTCTACCTTGAAGCAATCAAAATGATCCAAGTAGTCTCAAAATCCAAGGGCAAAGCTGTCTCCTTCATTACCTCCTGGTGGAAATACTGGATTTTGTAACATTAAAGAGAGAAGTGCCAGACTGTCTGTGAAAGGAGAGGTGAGAAATATGAACTCCCACCGCTGCAGAGGGCCAAGTGCTGCCACTGCAGGAGGGCACAGCCTGCCCTGCCAGCCTGCCCTGCCTCTCCTGACCCTGCTCCAGCCAGGGAAGGCCTGGCTGTCGGCACAGACACCCCAAGCACGAGGAGGCTGAAGGACAGCTCACCTTGGTCAGGTTTGCTGCTGCACAGCCCTGGCCTCAGCCACAAGCACCACCTGCCCTGGCTGCACTTCTGTCCCAGGAGTGCAAACACTCAGTGCTAAAGGCTCTGACTGCAGCAGGAGAGCCCTGTGGGGACACGGGCAGGCTCAGGGAGCACAGAGGAGCTCCATGTACTCATGGGGGTCTGGTTCTGTGACTGCTTTATGGTGGGGACAGAGGTGGTACCCGGGCACCAGAGAAGTTGTGCAGAAGGAGAGAGGAAGAAAAAGGTGGTGCCCTTTAGTAGGAGCCTGCACTTCAGTTTTCTTGAAGTGGAACCTCAGCTTCACACAGCTGGTCTCTCAGACCACAACCCATGAGATCCAGAAAGTGCAGTGAGGGTGATCATGTGGCAGATTACCCTACAAAGACATTTGTTTCTTGCCTGAAAAATACAGAAAGAGTGTGTGACTTAAGAGGAACCCGTGAAGGCAGAGCACAGAGCTGCCTTTGTCAGCACCCAACAGGCAGCACCAGGACAATCACACGTGGCATCCCGAGCTGCTGATACTGCAGTCAGAAACCAACAACCAGTGTGACCTCATACCTTTCAGCTCTCGCCCCTCTGTGCACCTTGAACACCAAATACCAGAGTACATGTGCCACAGGCACTTTGCACACTCACCCACTCCTGTGCCTCCATAATTCCCTGGCCACTGCTCTGCCTGTGCTGGACAGTCACTATGTTTTGTGTACCCTGCTCCATGGGGAGCATGTTCATCACACGCTGGTGTTCACCGTCACGTTCAAGTGCATCTAAAACATTCACAGTTGGTTCCCTTTACACACCTCCATAAAACATTAGTGTGACAGTTCAGGGTTTGCCCAGGGAAAGTGTCTTTCTGCCATCTGCTCCTGACAGGAAAGGCCCAAGCCTATGTGTGCCAGTGACCTCCCAGCCGCCTGTGTGGTGCAGCTGGTCCCAGGCAGGCCCTGGCAAACAAACAGGAGAAACCTTCAGCCCTGAGCCCTGCTGGGCTGCAGCTCCCACCAGGTCTGTCATTCTCTGAATTTGTTACTGCTGCACACATAAAACATCCTCACATTTATACCTTTTCTCCAGATTCATGCCCGACATGAGACAAGCTCAAAAAGAGCCCGAACTTACTCAGCCTAAGTGCTGACTGCAGCCTTGGAACAAAGCTACAGAACAAACCCCAGAAACAAACCCCAGGCACAAGAGCTGGGAGGCACAGAAAGCCCAGGCAGGCCTTCTGGCAAGAGGAGAGCTGGATGGCAGATCCCTGTGTGCAATGGATGCTTTGTAGCAGGAACAATCCCAGGTTCTCCATGCCCAAGTGACAGAAACCTTCCTACAGGCAGCCTTCCATGCCTCAGCAGCCCAGCACAACTCAGGGTGACTTAGCAACTCTCAGAGACCAAAGAACCTCCTTTCTCTTCATCAGGACAAAAAAGATGTTTTTATAGATTTGCTTAAGACCAGAAAGAATCATTATTAACCTTTTCAATAACCCTTTGTACACACAGGCAGGTTGGTTCTTCCTCTGGAAGCAGTTCCTAAAATACCTCACTGCCATTAAAAACGCCTATTTTTTTTAAATAACTGAAGGGTTTGCTGATAGGAACAGTGAGAGGTCCCAGAGGGAGGGTTGGCACAGTGATCCCAGGGGATCCAAGCAGGCAGCCTACCGTGGTGATGTACCGGGAATGGAACTCCGGGGCATCCTTCAGGAACGTCAGGCCAGGGTGAGTTTCCACCACATCCTGCAAGATAGAAGGAAGCCAAATGAATTAAGTTTTCTTCTCCTTTATAATGCTGAGAAGTTACTGGGTTTCACAAACCAGTACTTTTGCTTACTCTTGAAACTGTATTTGCAGCATTAACAATAAAAGTGAAATGACATTTTTTAATCTATAAGTGAACCTTCTAGAATTACAAGTATAATACATTTTCTGAGCAATACGCACCTGTTGGGCCATTTTGATTTACTTAAGGACAGAAAAACAAAGGAAGAGAGTTAGTGAGTAGATGAAAACTCATTTTCATTGATGAGACAAAAATCAGTTAGTTGACCATGCAACTATCTCCTCTCCAAGACCTCTTTTTATCTCCATTAATTGAAGATACCAACATTTGTTAGAGCTAGGTCTCAGAAATGCACATTCCTTGAGAAAATCACATTTTATGTCCTTCACAACAATGAAAGCTCTGTGAGCCTCAGAATGCTCACAGATAGTAGTGCTTTTCCAAAATTTACTTGAAGTACCTGTGGAGATGCCTCTTTCTCAAGGCAAGTGAACCACTGGCCCACGGTGCCAAATCTGCACGAGCAGATACCGGAGAAACTGCTCAGATCCTGACTGGATCAGTTCAGGTCCTCCATGAAACAGTGTCTGTGTAATTCCCACGTGTCTGACTCCTCTACCCCCCAAGAGTGTTGCAGGTTTTGCTCTGCCTGTTCCCTGCCATGGTGCCCTCAGGGGTGTGACGTGACCAGATTTTGGGCAGTGTAACACCAGGGCTGATGGGATGGGGTAAGATGGTGTCACTGCACTTGCCTGACTGACAAACAGGGCTGGACACGCCTTGGATTGCAGCAGGAGCTGAGAGGCAGAGCTGCAACCAGCCAGGAAAGGCAGCGTGTGCCCAGTGGGGAAAAGATGAAGAGGGACGTGACAAAATTTACCCACCACACCCCCACTTTTGTCTGAGAGACAGAAACATCCAATGCAGACACACAACCTTTCCCCAAAGCAGCATCTCCACAGAGGTTCTGCCTCGAGGGCAATATGGTGGGAGAAATGTAGGGATATGTGGAAAAGACTGGAAAAAGAAGCAACAGAGGATCAGAGCAGGAGATGGACCTGATTTATAGAGAAACTATAAAGAAGCCCTAAAGCTACCCTGAACCTGCCTAAATAGCCACAAATAATTAAAAAATGATGCTGTTAAAAATGTCACGTGAACGAAAAGAAAAAAAAAAAAGAAATTAAATCAGGATGTATAGATTAAGCCTGAATATTAGAGAAAAAATAAGCAGTGAGACTTGTGCACCAGCAAGTTGAGAGGCATATACAGAACACTTGGAAGTGCAGGAATTTTGCCAAGATTTCTATATTATACTGTATCTGGTAGCCTTGCTAGACAAATTCAATTATAACTGTCTTGCCAAGCAAGTTAGCCCTTTTACAACTTTTCTAATATGCATTTATGTTGTGCTTGAGCATCAACAGCACCATGCATTTTCCCCAATACCCAAGTGGGACAGATTTCAGCCTGGTTACCAGGCACTGATAAACATGAATCCTGACAAGACGCAAGAAACCACACAAAGCTTTGACAATCCTTTAGCAAGATTTACAGTTGGGTGGCATTTAAGCAAAACAGCCCACTTGAAATGCTTATTTCTTTTTCACTCCCAAATAAACCCCACTCAGGTGCTGTTCAAACCAAAGGTCTGCTTGCCCTCGGTAAACATTTAAGGACATGAAAATAAAGAAGCTGCAAAATGAAGGTGGCTGTGTCCCCACCCCTTCCCCGTACCTGGAGCAGTGGGATGAAGTCCTCCTGCTGTAGGTAGTCACAGCCAGGCTTGGCCAGGAGGGATGTGAACCTGGAAGCATCATCGTGGCAGTTCCGCAGGACTCTGTGGGAGAGGTGAGGAGTCACCCCAAGGCCCTGCCCCTCGGCACAGGTGGAGCAGGAGGTGCCCCAGCACTCCCCTCAGGCAGTACCCACACCCCAAGTCAGGCAGGAGCTCACCTCACACTACCAGCACACCCTCCAACACCTTTCAGCAGCACCAAGGTACCCAGAGGAGGTTTTTTCCATGTTTTAACACTGCTGTGGCAAACCAGGTTTCTTACTGGGGGCTGTTCTTGCTTTGATTCTGCAGCTACTCAGTGAGTAACCTGACTTTTCCAAATGCTGTCCACTCACTGCTCTCAGTGGAGTCAACAGCACCAACCCCCTGGGATGCCCTGAGACACCCTGCCCAGTGCAACCCTTTCCTAGAGCTCAATATTTGAGGGCATTGCCAAACCACAGCAACTGAATATTCACCCACAAAAATCACTTCTGAGAAGGACAAAGAACATCCCTGGTTAGTTGGGCCCATGTGGCTGCTGTGCTCTGCAGTGATGGAGAGCAGCACGAGGGAAGCATTAGCAGGACTCAGGATTCAGAGAAGCCTGCAAACTCATTCCTTAGGTTGACAGTTTGCATCTGACACATCAATTCTTGGCTCTGCTTTCTTCTAATGCAAAATACTGCTGGTCAAAGGTATCACAGTTACTTAACTCATTCCAAACAGAAAAACTCATGAAAAGAGCAACTCCATGACATTTACCAAATACTGGATATATCAAACACTTAGTTGTTCACATGGTATAAGGGAAACAATAAATTACTCAGAAAATCACCCTGGTTTTTTTTAAGAACTGTGAAAATACAAATGCACTGTTAGTTATTTACTGTGATTAGTCACCACCTCCCTCTCCTGAAAGTGTACAAACACAACACTGAACTGCAGAGAAGTCACTGGAACTTGCTTCCTGCTAATTCTGGCCTCCTTACTGTACGAAAAGCAGTCTTTACAAAAAAAAAAAAGGCTTTTTTTTAAATAAGCAAAGAAAGATTAGATTTAGCAATCCTTTGGCTGCACATTCATATCATGGTAACTGTCAACTGACAGATACATTCTAAATCAGCTGCAGAAAAATGTTTTAGTTAATGTTTTATGCTAATGTTTTAGTTTAAAAAAATCTGGCACACAAAGAAGAATCCCAAGGCCATGTTTTAGCCACAAACTAAATGATCTGACATTCAGGAGTATTTTCTATTCAGCAATTACTATAGACTTGAGGAGATCAGTGAGCATGGAGCATTTTGAAAGCCAGGTCACCTA